AACAAGTGCATCGCTTCTAGTAACAAGTGCCTTACTAGTAGTAACAAGAAGCTAGTAGGAACAAGTGACTTGAGCACCTTTTTCAGGGCAATGAAAATTGCAAATCTCAAACACGACGTGCCAATCTCGGGCGGCTTCCTGCCAAGGGCAAGCTTGTTGTGTCGCTCAAGCAGTATCACTAGTAGCTTCTTGTTCCTGGTAGTACGGCCAGGAGCCCCCAGTAGCGTCCTCTTGCTCCTAGTAGCGATGCCAGGAGCCCCTAGTAGCGTCCTCTTGTTCCTAGTTTAAGAAACCTTTCCATCCAACCTCCATACGCAATATTGTTCCGCACGTAAGCCTGGCTCACCTGGACAAAAAAACAAAGCGAACATCGCTGATTCTCAAATCGTCCGTTGTGAGAACGATGAAATCAGGAAGACTTGAAAATGGTCGTGTTCTTTGTGTTGGTTCTATCTCCACAGCAAAGCCAAAACCAATCTATCTTGTTCTCTCTGCCTTGATGCCACTGTTCCGCACTGTGGCAATGATACCTCCCAAAGAACTTGGCCTCGCAGCAGCGCAGCAAATAGGAGCACGATAGAAAGCGGTGTGCAACACAATAGCAATGGCTAGTAGCGTTCTTGCTCCTAGTAGCTTCTTGTTACTAGTAGTAAGGCCAGGAGCCCCTAGTAGCGTCCGAGCGCTCCTAGTAGCGATGCCCCCTGCTCCTGCAAAGAAAAGAACACAACTCCGCTGCTCTGGCTCTGAGTAGGTGACACCCCCTTGATCTGAAGCACAATGCTTTCCACTCCTAGCTTGTCTGCAACATACAAAGCGGCCTCAAGCAGCACACGGCATCAGGCCATCAGCAAAAAGACAACACGGCAAAACATTCAGCCAAAGGAAGACGATTTTCTGAGCAAAGGAGTCAAAGGAGGACGATTAAAAAATTCGTTGACAGAAATCAGCACACAACCATGTCTGGACTTCAGTTTGCCTCGACTGCACGGTTGGCATTCGGAAGCAACACTCCTGAGACGTCCAACAGGTTGAACATCCGGCTGTCATGCTTGTCACTAGAAGCGATGCACTTGTTCCTAGTAGCTTCTTGTTACTACAGAAAAAGAATTCGTGCTTGTCAGCCGATCATCTTCCCGTTCTCAACCCTGGGTTGATGAACTCAACACTTCCTGTGTGCCTGGAACTGCCATGAAGAACCTAGCGATGGCCTCCAACCTACTACCAGTAGCCAAAACACAGCATCTTCGAGAATCTTTGCTCTCAGCTCGACAGAAATGCAAGTCAGTATACTTGACTATCTCAGATCTGGTGTCCAGGATAGTCTTGCAGCCGGGTGGGAGGTGAGATGAGGCATGGTAGATAGCAAAGCAGTCGAGACACAGGAGAGTTTAGATGAGGCCATGCAGCATATCAGCTCAATTAAGATGAGGTGGAGCAAACAACGAGACCACTCTCGAGATGGGTTCACATCAAATGGCTGAGCAGACGATAACTGGAGTACAGAGATTAAACATGATAAACCAAACACTGTCAAAGAATGGGAGATGGCATCAAGTGATACTGCAAGGAGAAGCTAACAGCAACAAAGCAGCACAAGAGGCACAAGAGAGCACGAATTAGCTCTCTGAAGAGGGGAGTAGTTTTCATAAGCAAAAGAACCGAAAAAGCAAAAGCAAAATTCTTGGGAAGCAGCCATACCGCTTCTCGGTCGTTGCCCAAACCACCTGCAAGACAAACAAGACTGATACATTCTCCTTTATTGTCCTTTCCTTGCCTCTCCTTTCTTGTCCGTGAGGGCTACGTGGGTATTGTTCTTGCTCTTCCGCACAGTCATCATCTAAGAACAGGCGGCTTTCGTAACACAAGAAAGTTCCAAAGTGGAGCAGAGGCTTAGGCTTAGGTTGGAGGCCATCGCTATTAGGAGCAAGGACGCTACTAGGGGCTCCTGGCCTTACTACTAGGAACAAGAAGCTACTAGGGGCTCCTGGCATCGCTACGAAGGGAGCAAGAACGCTTCTAGGTTGGAGGCCATCGCTTGCAGGTTAGTGGAGCACTCAGAGACTCAGAGAGTTTCATTTGTTTCTCCGAGACTCGAGCTGCTCCACCCTGCAACCTGAGGAAGAACAGGCGGAACAAGTGGCAAGCTCGAACCAGTGGTCAAACAATGACAACTGACCACCTAGACAAACATGCAGAAGACATTTATCATGTTTTATCATAAGGACTGTCGCTAGTAGGTTGGAGGCCATCGCTAGTAGGTAAGACCTTGCTTAGCACTGCCTTTGTAGACCTTACTTGGAGTTCTCGCTTCCAGTGCTTCACCCATACTACCTGTGCTCACTAGTTCACTCTCGCTTACTCCCTCTCTTCTGCCGAAGCCTGGATTTTTTGGATGCATTGCTCGGCGCTCTTGCAGCTAATCGAACACCTGGGCTCGAAACTTGTCCCAAACTTGTTCTCTAATTGTTAAAACAGCAAGCTGCCCAAGTCGACCAAGCACCAGCCCAACACCAAACCCTAAACGGCAATGTTCGACAGGGCACACCACTATGCAAAGCTATAGGGTTTTAGGGTTTGTAGAGCTATTGGAAGCAAGGCATTCATTTCTTTGTGCACCGTCTACACAGGCGAGCAACACTGTCGCATAGTCAAAAGGCTCACCACAGCCTTGGCAGTCTCCGTGCGGCTCTGCCCAAGGAAGCTTCCAAACCGAAATCAGTCTTAAAGAAAGAACTCAGTCTCTGTGAGGAAACAGTAAAGGAAGAAGCCTCAGTCTCTGCAGCTTCCCGCTCAGCAGCCAAGGATTGGACGAATCCGCTCATCACTCCGGTCATTCCCCAGGGCTTCTTTGCCTGAAAGTTAAGAATGCACACATAGAAACATGTGAGATGACGTTGAGAAGCTTGAGGGTGAACAAGTGCACCACAGGCTACAGGTGCATATATTCGCTGACACGACCTATCCGATTCACAAATCGTGTGCCTCTGCAGCCTTGCCGGCCCTTTGAACCTCTCATTGCGAGACGGAGCAAGTCACGAGGCTGAGCGAAGTGAGCGAAGCATGCAAAAATAACAAACGAGTTGAATACAACTATTAGGCTCTTTCCGCATTAGGTTGGAGGCCATCCCCACTAGGTTGGAGGCCATCGCTAGTAGGTTGGAGGCCATCGCTGGTAGGTTGGAGGCCATCGCTCGTAGGTTGTGGGCCATCGCTATTAGGTTGGAGGCCATCGCTATTAGGTTGGAGGCCATCCCTATTGGGTTTGAGCCCA